GAGAGAGGGGGGAGAGAGAGAGAGAGAGAGAGAGAGAGAGAGAGAGAGAGAATTTTCCATGTCATTAGCCTCTCCAAGTGTTTGGGGGAATCTGATGAAGAATTCCACATCCTCAGCTCCCATTTCTTCAGCAGTGTGTAATGTCAGAAGCAACCCCTCAAGCGTGCTTTTTTTAGGGGAGGCAGGCCCTCTCCTGGGAGGCTATGCTGACATCCTAATATCCCTGCCACTGTTCCCTTTGCAACCAGAATGTGGTGAGCTCTTAAAGGAAAAACTGCCCTCAAGTGGAGAGTTCAGAGCAGCACAGAGCCAGGAAGAGCCCGGAGTCGGGAGAGTCAGTGAGATATCAAGAGAAGCCAGCCTGAGCCAGGCAGTAGTACATGCCTCTAGTCCCAGGAGGACTGTAGTGTGTGACGCCAGCAGTTTAAGCCCAGCCTAAGCAAGTTACTGAGACCCCTCTCAAAATAAAATAAAAAATAAATAAAGGGCTAATGCTTAGTGCTAAAGCACTTCTTTAGCATGCATAAGATCCTCAGTGAAAGAAAGAAAGAAAGAAAGAAAGAAAGAAAGAAAGAAAGAAAGAAAGAAAAAAGAAGCCTAGGATCCACGGTTTACATCCTGTCTTTCTCACTTCAGAGCTGTGTGACCCTGAGTGAGTTTGCATCACCTGTCTGAACCTCAGTGTCCTTATCTATAAAATGAGGCTGATGATACCTGCCTAGTAAGTTGTGAGGATTCAGTGATACCCTTGGCCTAGGGACAGAGGTGACTATACAGTGGCAAAGATGAAGGGCCTGCCTGGAAGAGGTAGGAGATGGGGAGGGGCACACATGAGCTAAATGTGGAAGGGTGAGAAAGAGGTAGCCAGGTTGGGGTCATGGGGCAAGGGTCAGGCCACCCGTGGCACAGTGAGCAAGCTGAAAGTTATCCTATGGATGGTGATTTCTATAAAATGTAAGTTAGGTTACATCTCCTCTGTTGACCTCAATTAGAATAAAAGCCACTTTTATGATGGGCTCAATGTCCTTCACAATTTGGTTCTCATTATCTCTTTATCTTCTATCTCTCTTCCATCGTTCCCCTTTTCAGGCTTCTCTGGCCTCTTCACTGTTCCTCGGACACACCAAGCGTGGTTCTACCTTGGGGGCTTTGCACAGGCTGTACCCTTTGTACTTTTACCTTAGACAGCCACACAACTCGTTCATTTCCCTCAGAGTTCTGCTTATATGCCATTTCCTGGAGAAAAAAAAGTCTTCCCTGACTACTACATCTAAAACAGCACTTTTAAAAAATTATTATTATTAATATTATTATTATTATTATTATTATTAATGTATTTGGTACAGGGTTTCACTACACAGCTTGGACTCATAGTGATCCTCCTGTCTCAGCCTCCCCAGTGCTGGGATTACAGGTGTCTGCATCCGGTCTTGATGAGGCCGGGCCCAGGGTTGGGCCAGCGTGGCATGTGATACTAGGGATCGAACCCGGGTCGTTGCCCTTGCCTAAGCAGGTGCTTAGAACAGCTATCTTTGTGGCCCCAAAACAGCACTTTTTTAGTATTCAAAAAACAGCACTTTTATCACTTTTATTTTCCTTCCTAGTTACTTATCCCTACCTGAAATTGTAAGTTCATATGTTTATATATAGTCTGTCTCCCCCACTACAGTATCACCACCCTGAGAGAACACTCTTGTATGTCTTGCTCACTTTTATGTTTCTAGCGCCTAGCGCCTGCATAGGTGCTCAGGTGGTGTTCATTGTGAGAATGCTGGGGAGAGGTGTGAGGATTTTCACAGGAGAGTGAAATGGGTAGATTCGCATTGTGAAAGCTCTCCCTGGCTATGTGATGGAGAACACACAGGGGACTATGGCACAAGTTCAGGCCCAAAGCTTATATTGAGCACCTGTGATGCTCCAGGCTCTGTGCTCTGTGTTAGGTAGATTACCAAATTCTCTTCCTGTGCTGGGATTCTGAGAGCCCTGTACACAAATAGCTGTCACGCTTTGCCAAAGCTAATCTGTGCCATAAAAAGAAGGACAGCCATGTGCTGTGTGTGGGAGCTCTGAACAGGACCAGCACTAGTTTCAGGCTGGCAGCAGGATTCAGGAGGGCTTCTTAGTGGTGGTATATGTCCCGAATCTTGACAGAACTAGGATGTGGGGGATTTCTCAGACTGCACATAGCAGAGGTGATGGGGATTGCATTGCAGGTGGAAGGTAGCGTATGAGCAGTTCTGGAGGTGGGAAACTGAGGAGCATTTGAGAGAAAGGATCTGGGCCAGGGCGAGTGGAGCAGAGGGCTAACAGCCAACACTGCGGTATGGCTTAATGTTTGGGAGTGTGGATCTTGGAGTCAGACAGCCTGAATCTGAGTCCTGGCTGTATCATCGGTAACTGTGTGACCAGGTTATATGCTACATAACCTTTCTGGGCCTCAGTTTCTTTATGTGTAAAATGAAGATAAGTACAATACCTACCTCATGTGGTTGTTTGGAAGAGCAACCAAATTATTCGTAAGCATGAGGTGATAAAATAGTGCCCAAATGTGTTAAGTGCTCGATATGCATTGTCTTTGGTCTTGGCGAAGCCTATAGCACCAGAATGAAGAACTTGGGTGATAGAAGCTCTGGATTGTTCATGATTAGAGAAGATTGTTGATCACAGCTGTGTGGGAGGGGAGAGGTTTGAGAGGTGCATGTGTAAGGGATCATGATGTCATGAGAGAAGGGAGAAGAACAACTTCAATGGGGGGGGGGTGATCTGACCCATAGAGGAAGACATCTGGAGCTCCTAAGGCCCAGAAGGGAGAGTGTGTGGTGGATGGTCCACTAGTGTGTTTCTGCTTTGTCCAGGGCAGTATTGGATGGTTTTGCAATGTTGCAGATTAACACTTTGGAGGGTAGGGGATGAGCAATGGGAGGGCAGAAGTTCCCACCAGGGCAGAGTCTGGTCCCTCCAAAGCCCAGGGCCCAGCCTCATGGCTGCAGCCCCTCACCATACCCAGTCCCCAGCCCAGAGTGCCCTGCTGGGAGGCAGGCCTGCCTATAGCAGTTCAAGCTCCTAGCCTGGTAGGGAATCTCCTTTCATGTAGTCTATCTGGCCTCTGCCAAGCAGGGGTTGGGAAGATGCCCCTTAACCTTGTACCAACCTAGACCTCCCCAACATTGGGCCCCCCAAAACCAGACCATTTTCTGGGCCCACCCATGCCCACTCATACCTCTCTTGCCTGCTCCTCACATCTGAAGCCCTCCTGGGTTCTCCCTACCTGCGCCGCTCCTCACCAAGTCTGCCTGCTCAGCTTAGGGCACCAGGGCTGTGTCGACACCTGGGTTCCCCTGGCAGCCTGGTTGCCATGGCACCGTGGGAGCAGGTCTGGCAGAAAAACAGCTGAGTAACCGGACAGGCCAGCCTGGGCCCCAGCTCCTGCCACTCTTCGGTCTCAAGACTGCTGCCCTGTTCCCCACCTGAGCCGAGGAGGCCATGAGGAGAAAAAGGAAGCTGCCCCGCAGGGCAGTTCTTTACCTGTGAGGATGCTAGATGGGAGGTGCCTCCCACTATTGGGAGCCCAAGCCCCAGCCCTACCCTTGGAGCAGCACGGCTGGGGAACCCTGGGGACTGGCCAGGTTGGGACTCCAGGCTGCCAAGGTCTGGGGCAACACACAGGGGTAGAGTTAGGCACAGAGAGGAGCTCCTGGGTGGGCAGGGTGTAGGGGTACGTTTTAGGCTCTAGGGGATGGGGTGGGGGCAGCATTACAACCGAACTGGTCCAGGGTAGTGTGGGGGTGGCACTGGAAAGAAAATCACAGCATCACAGGCACTGTGTTGGGGACAGGTCCACGAGGAGATGGAGCTAGGAGGGGAAGAGGTCTGAGAAGAGAACGGGACCCTCAAGGCAAAGGAGTGAGATTGTTGCTCTTAGGGGGCAGGAACTATTAGAAAAAAAGAACATGAAGAGACAGGACTGGGAAGAGACTGGTCTGAGGGTTAGCCTGTGAGGGAATCAGGCTGTGAAGGGTGATTGTGAGAAGGCAGAGCTTGTGGGAAAGGCATCTAACAGGGTGGGGCTTAAAGATGTATCTCTGAGGGAGGGGGCTGCTGGGAAATGAGGATATGCCTGTGAAAGCAGAGAGGCTTAAAGGGAAAGGGACTGTGGGAATAGTGAGGAACAGCTTGAAGCTAGGTCTTCCCTTTGGCTTTTATGTGTTGGGGTCTTTATGTAGAAGTAAGGTGGGGAATAAATCCAGTCTACTCAGTTTCAGTCCAGCTCAGCAGGCCTCTCTCCTCTTCTCATATCCTGGTTCATCTAATCTCATCCCCACAGTGTGGAGGGTGATGCCCCAGGCAGTGACCTCAGCACAGCGGTTGATAGCCCTGGGAGCCAACCCCCCTACCGGCTGAGCCAGCTACCCACTACCAGCAGCCACATGGGGGGCCCTCCTACTGGGGTGGGCCTTCCCTGGGCTCAGCGGGCACGCCTCCAGCCGGCCAGTGTTGCTCTGAGGAAGCAGGAAGAAGAGGAGATAAAGCGCTCCAAGGCCCTATCGGACAGCTATGAACTCTCCACAGACTTGCAGGATAAAAAGGTACCACAGAAATGGCTCTCTGTTTGGGGATGGGAGTGTTTTGCAAGAGAAAGCCAAGGAAGGGGTTGGGATGTGTCATGAGAGGGTGATATTCAGGAAAACTGTGCTGCTGCAGTTAGAGAATGCTCCCTTCATGCTTCTGAAGACTTATTCCCTCACCACGCATCCACGCACTCTCCTATTCACTCAGCAAACATTGTGGAGCTCCTTGCTTGGGTCCTGGAGACATAAAGGTGAATGGAACCTATACCTAGTTTTCAAAAACAGTCTAATGGAGAGAGGACACACATAAGTTGACAGTTTCATATATTAATTATGGTATTGTCTAGGCTAAGTGCTGACAAACCTGTGGCTTGTTTGTGTCATTGAAAGCTCTAAAAGGTTCTCTATCACTGGCCTGCATGTTTGGGCATTAGGCAAGGCAACCTTCCTCCCTCCCTTCCTTCTCCTCCTCTCATTCTCTCTTTTATTAATTAATTAATTAATTTATTTATTTTCATTTTATGTATTTGTACAGGGTCTCACTACACAGCTGGGACTCATAGTGATCCTCCTGTTTTCAGTCTCCCCAGTACTGGGATTACAGGCATGCACCCTCTACTCGGTTGCTGGATCAGTGTGCCCCAGGGCGGGGCGGGCAAGGCATGCAGGACTAGGGATCAAACCCTGGTCCCTGCGCTCGCCAAAGCAGGCGCTTGCCAGCTCATTCTCTCTTTCCTTCTTTCCTGCAACTTCTTGGTCTTTTCTTTCTTTCTTTCTTTCCTTTTTAGGCTTCTCTGGTGTTTTTGTTATTTTGAATAATTAACATATATCATTTGCAAATTTTAAAAAAATACAACATGGCCTAACCCCGTGTGACCAGCACTGTCTGAGAGTCAAGAATGAAGACAGCACTGAGCATGTCACCTGGCATAGTTGGGTGACTATCAGTAGTTAGCTGTGACTTGAGTGGGGGTGTGCTTGAGCACCCAGGACCATGAGGCTATAGTGATATTCTGACCTTGTTCCCTTTGACTGTCCCCTGCCAGGTGGAAATGCTGGAGAGGAAGTATGGGGGCTCCTTCCTAAGCCGCAGGGCTGCCAGGACCATCCAAACAGCCTTCCGCCAGTACCGCATGAACAAGAACTTTGAGCGGCTACGCAGCTCAGCTTCAGAGAGCCGCATGTCCCGCCGCATCATCCTTTCTAACATGCGGATGCAGTTTTCTTTTGAGGAGTACGAGAAGGCACAGAATCCTGCATACTTTGAGGGCAAGCCGGCCTCGCTGGACGAGGGTGCCATGGCTGGTGCCCGGAGCCACCGGCTTGATCGGGGGCTCCCCTACGGAGGCTCCTGTGGTGGGGGCATCGATGGTGGTGGAAGCTCTGTCACCACATCTGGAGAATTTTCTAATGACATCACAGAACTAGAGGACTCCTTCTCCAAACAGGTCAGGACCCCCCAACATGGCCTTTGTTTCCCATCCCCAGGTTCTGGCTGTTCCTTCTGGGTTTTTTTTACCTATATTCCAAACTGAAAGAAGTTGTGCTGTTGCGCATTTAAGAACAATAGATAGGTATGGTCTGACTTGGGACTTTGATAGTGATGAGACCGTATCTTTTAAAAAAATATGATTATATAGAAAAAATAAGAAAACAAAACTTCTCACTGGTGTAACTAACAAGTAATGAGTGCACTTACTGGGTACTTCATACTGTGTGTGCCTCAGAACAGATCTGTGACATAGAGATTATTATCCCCATTTCACAGAGGAGAACATGCAGGCTGAGACACTGGCCTTGGTCCTTTCTTCGTCAGGATCTCCCATTCTGGTAGGAAATAGCAGACATACGATGGATGCATTACTATTGCCTGAAATAGAGTGTGCTCAGAGCCATGAGAAAAGATTCTAGGAGGACCAGAGAAAGCTTCTTGGAGAAAATAGCATTGGAACTGGATCTCAGCAGACTGAGAAGATTAAGCAAGTTAGAGAGAATTGGGAGGGTGTTGCTTGCATATGCATTGGCAAGGAAAAAAAAACATGGAAGGATGGGAATGTCACTGTCTGTGAAGTGGGTAGGACATCAGTCTACCTTCAGAGTGCGTCAGCATACCTGCTTCCCAGCTGTACCAATCCCAGGCGTACAGTTCTGCCATCTCCCAGCTGTGCAGTGTTGGACAGTTTACCCTCATTGACATATCATCAGTAAAACAGACTTTTTTGTGCAAAGGTGCTGGGTATTGACCCCAGGGCTTCACACATGCTCAAAAAGCATTCTGCCATTGAGCTACAGACCTGTAACAGAAAGTTTTCTTTTCAGAGATGTTTGGAAGAGTCAGTTCAACTAGGTAGCAGGTAAAAGCACTTGAGGTAGGTCATAGCTCCTAAGTACATGTCAGTTTTCTACCTGAAACCAAGGAAGTACTTGGTAGAAATTATTGAATGAGTGTGCAAATAATTGAATCTTTATAAGAGAAGAAATTACTCTGCTTTAAACTCTAATCTGGCCTTGCCATTATCCTAGGCATGCTTCCTTGGGGCTAGTAAAGAGGTAGAGGGGAGGAAAGAAGTATTGGAGAGATCTATATTATCCATCCATTCATTCATATGATGAAGATTTAATTAAACATTTCTTGTGTGTCAAGCAGTGTGTTGAGCTGAGTTCCAAAAGAGAGATATCAGGCCTATCCTCATCTTTCTAGTCCTAGTTATCCCCAGACTTACTCACTTGGCTGTTGGCAGGAGGCATCAGCTCCTCACCATGTGGGCCTGAGGGGAAAAGTGCAAGCCTAGCAGAATACTCAAGACTGAAGCTGCAGTCTTTTACAACCTAATTGCAGAAGGACCACACCTTCACTTCTGCCATATACCATGGGTAACAAGACCAACTCTGGTGCAGTGTGGTACCTGACAGTGTGAATATCTATAATACCAAGGAGCAGGGATCTTTGGAGCCAGTTTGAAAGCTGGCTACCACCACAGGGAGGCAGAGTTCCCGGATGTGGCCCAGATTCTCAAGGCTAAATATTATGAATTTCCTAAGGAAGAATCACCCAGAGTTCTAGAAACCCAGAAGAAGCTAGGATTCTGGCTTTTGGGGGAGTAAGGCTGGGGAAGGGTTGGATAGTTGAGATAGTCTTTGCCTTGGGAAGGAGATATGCACTGGAGTATCTGAGATGGGAAGGGACTTAGTGGTCACTGGTCCCACTTCCTGAGAGCTCACAATGGCTCCCCGGGAGTAGTCTTATAGACTGTAAAGAATCTATCAGGAGTGGAGAAGAAAAACCTTGCTGAGCTGACTCAACCAAAATTACCTACCGCCCTTTTCTCCCCCTTTTTCTCTTCTCCCCACCCTTCCATATTGTTCCCTTCATCTTTCCTTCTTTCTCTCCCTTTCCCGAATCCCCTTTCCTTCTGTGCAGGTGAAGTCTCTAGCTGAATCTATTGATGAGGCCTTGAACTGCCACCCATCGGGGCCCATGTCTGAGGAGCCAGGGTCAGCCCAATTGGAGAAGCGGGAGTCAAAGGAACAGCAAGAAGACAGCTCGGCCACGTCCTTCAGTGACCTTCCCCTCTATCTGGATGACCCAGGTCCTCCACCATCTCCTGAGCGACTACCCAGCACAGAACCCCCACCCCAAGGCCGGCCTGAGTTTTGGGCACCAGCCGCCCTCCCCCCAGTTCCTCCACCAGTGCCACCAGGGACCCGGGAAGATGGTAGCCGTGAGGAAGGCCCCCGCCGGGGACCTGGTTGCTTGGAATGCAGGGATTTCCGGCTGCGGGCTGCCCACCTTCCCCTGCTTACCATTGAGCCTCCTAGTGACAGCTCCGTGGACCTGAGTGATCGCTCAGATCGAGGCTCTGTCCATCGCCAGCTGGTGTATGAGGCTGATGGCTGCAGCCCCCATGGGACCCTGAAGCACAAGGGACCACCAGGCAGGGCCCCAATCCCACACCGTCACTACCCAGTCCCTGAGGGCCCCGCCCCAGCCCCACCTGGACCCCTGCCACCAGCCCCCAACAGTGGCACTGGGCCCGGTGGTGTGGCTGGGAGTCGGAGGTTGGGGAAGTGTGAGGCAGCTGGCGAGAACTCTGATGGTGGAGATAACGAGAGCCTGGAGAGCTCCAGCAATTCCAACGAGACCATCAACTGCAGCTCCGGCTCCTCTTCTCGGGACAGCCTGAGGGAGCCTCCAGCTGCTGGCCTGTGCAAGCAGACGTACCAGAGGGAGACAAGGCACAGCTGGGATTCACCAGCCTTCAATAATGATGTGGTACAGAGGCGGCATTACCGCATTGGCCTCAACCTCTTCAATAAGTATGTGTTTCGTGTTCTAGCCTCATCACCCCTTTCTGCCCTACAGTAGGCATTTTGGTCCTAAGGAATGAGGCAGTGAGCCTGGTTCTCTGGATCCTTTCACTTGGTGGATTGACATTTCTCCCTGGCTATTTAAGGAAGGGCATTGGCATCAGTGTAGTACAGACCTCAAACATACCTAGGTTTGGGTCCTAGTGCTGCCACTGACTGGCTGTGTGATCTTGGGTGAGATTCACGCTGAATGGATTCTGATCTGAGCCTTATCTTCCCCTCATTTACAGAAGAGATCTGGGGTACAAAGAGCCCTAGTCTGGGAAGCAGGAGAGCAGGACCCTTTGTCTGCTTGTCACCACTTGCTATGAAGCCTAGGCAATGTTTGTTTCTTCCTTGGGCCTGAGATTTTTCCATTTATTGACAAGCAGGGTGTGTTTGTTTGATGTGTTGAAAGGAAGGGCAATGTGCTGGACTACTCAGCTACTCAGAGACAACTGTGCTCTTTCTAGTGCCTGGTCTTGGGCCAGGCGCTTACGAATAGAGTAGGTGTATGGCATTTGATTACAAAATAATTAGGAAACATTAGATGTAATTAGAAAACATGAGATGTAATGGAAGAAATTAGATGTAAATGCCTTACATCTTCATAGTCTATTAAACACTGCCACCTATATTTAATTCTCACAATAATTCAGCAAAGTGGATAATAATGTCTATTTTATGGATAAGGAACTGAGACTTGGAAGTAAAGGAGATTTTCTAAAATCGTACAGCTAGGAAGTGATAGATATGAGATTCCTAGAACACAAAAGTCTCTTCCAAATTTTAGCTGTATGAAGTGCTAATGTTCTGGGGCCCTGAATATGGGATAGCTCCAACTTAGATTTTGACCTAGCTCTCTGGAAACCTGGGGAGAACCTTATCTATAAAAGTGCTAACAGAGGGCTGGGGAGATAGCTCAGCAGCATAGCAGACTCCCTGGCAAGCACAAGGTCCTGAGTTCAATTCCTGTTATGAACCAAAAAAAAAAAAAAATGTACTCACAGAGGCTGGGCGATACCCACCTGGGTGGGATGTGGAGCATGGAACAAAGCAGCCTCTTCTCTGCCCTGAGGGTCTGTAACTGAGAAAGTCTTGACCTGGGGCTCAGGCCTTCTCTCAGGATTCTTCTGGCCCTATTAGAAATATCAGTGCTCCTGGCAGAAAATAGGCTCTCATTTGATACTAATTTTCTTTCAACTTCCGTGCAGCACTAGTAAAGTAGAAAGTTGGAATGAGAACATCTTTTGAAACTCTGTAAAATGGGCAAGCAGCTTCATATCCCTGGGCTTTGGTTTTCTTTTGTTTGTTTGTTTGTTTATTTGTTTTGAGGCAACATCTTAACCATGTGGTGCTGGCTGGCCTTGAACTTGTTTATGCAGCCCAGACTGGCCTCAAACTCACTGTGATCCTCCTGCCTCAACCTTCTGAGTGCTGGGATTACAAACATGCACCACCATGTCTGGCAAGGGCTTTGGTTTTCTTACCCATACCATGAAAAGACTGGACTATACTGTAGATTTGACATCCTTGGCTCTTTGAGGCCATGGTTAGATGGGGCCAAAATTAGTTCTAAAAATAGGACAGAGGGCACAGTTCCAGAACAGTCATCTCATCTACCTCCTGTCTTTCTGCAGGAAGCCAGAGAAGGGTATCCAGTATTTGATCGAACGAGGCTTCCTGTCAGACACACCAGTGGGAGTGGCTCACTTCATCCTGGAGCGAAAAGGCCTGAGCCGGCAGATGATAGGGGAATTCCTAGGGAACCGGCAGAAGCAGTTCAACAGAGATGTGTTGGAGTGAGGACCCTAGCATGCGGCAGGCGGGCCAGGGATTCCTGGAAAAGGAAGAGGGGGGAGTCTTCCCTTTTTGCTCAGATAAACTTTACAAAACAGGATGAACATACCTTCCTGCTCCCATATGCTTCGGCCAAAGGGGTCTGATCACTCTTGACCTATTCTTAAAGTGTTCTGAGTGACCCTGGGCAGGATATGCTCATATGATGTCTTGCTTTGGGCCTTAGTTTTCCCATTTCTGGAATGAGTTAACTGATAGAAAGATCTCTTAATAGCCACGTATATCTACCAGACTCTCTAGGATGGATTAATTTCAAATATACTATCCTCATATGTCCTTTTTCAGACGACAGCCCCTGATTTTGGAAGTGTATCAGTGGGAGTATTGAGCAGGGGCATGTAGGTCAGGGGTTTTCTGTGGGGGGCTGAGAATGCCACACCTCCTTCTTTGTTCCTCAGTTGTGTAGTGGATGAGATGGACTTTTCCTCCATGGATCTGGATGATGCACTCCGGAAGTTCCAATCCCATATCCGGGTTCAGGGTGAGGCCCAGAAAGTGGAGCGACTCATCGAAGCTTTCAGGTGTGCCTGCTTCCCTTTCCAGAAGCTGTCCCTCTCTACTTTGGGGGCCCATGGAGTATGTGTCCACAAGTCACTTCTTTGAACCCCATACTCTTCTCACCATAAGACAGAAATGATAAATCGGATCTTGCAAGGCAGTTGTAAGGATGAGAGGTAGTACTTATAGCATATCTAGCTCAGCATATGGAATGTGGGCATTTCACAAGTGACAACATCAGCAGTGAAAGCAAAGTTCCATGGGACTGGAGGTATAGCTCAGTGGTAGGGCACTTGCCTAGTATGTATGAGGCCAGGGTTGTTCTACCTCTAGTGCTGCAGAAAAAGAGTTGAGGAAGGGGATGGGGGGAGGCAGGAAAAAGAAGGAAAGGAGAGGAGAGAACAGAATATAACAGAACAGATACTCAAAACCTCCCAATGAGGTAGGTGCTTCTATCATTATTTCCATTTTGTACCCATTTTGTAGTTGAGAAATATGAAGTTCAGAGAGTTTAAGTAATCTGCCTAGGATTGTACAGCAAGGCATAGAATCAGAATTTTAAATCAGGTGTGTTGGCTCCATGGTCTCTCCGTGCCTGTAATCATCATATTCCACTGTACATGCTTTAGGATCAAACAGACCTGTGTCAAAATCCTGTTGTTTTCCTTTGAAATATTTAAAGGAGAAACAGAAGTTGCTGAGAACATGTAACCAATGATGGGAGAAGGATTTGCTTTATAGTTAGAAAAATGTGAGTTTCTATCATGGCCTCACTATTTATAGGCTCTGTTCCCTTGAGCAAGTTACCGCACCACTTGGAGCCTCAGTCACTTCATCTGTAACATGGGACTGTTACCTTGAGGGCTGAAGGCATAGCTCAGTGATAGTACATCCTTAGCATACTTGAGGGTCTAGGTTCAATTCCCAGCACCAAGGAAAAAAAAAGAAGAAAAAGAGAAAGAAGAAAAATAGCTACCTTGCAGGATTGTGATAGGATTACATGAGACAATTTATTTAAATCACCTGGGAAATCTCCATAAAAGGTAAGACCGATTTTTACCTGCTTGTTTTGGAGAAACTCAAGAGGACAGACCCAAAGACCAAGGGAGTATTTCTTAGAAGAAAGGGATGGTGGTGTCAGGCTGGGTGGATGGTGGGTAGGTAGAGATTGCTGGTGCCTGAGTCTGGCCTTGGCCCCTCCTGTCCTGCAGCCAGCGGTATTGTGTCTGCAATCCAGCCCTAGTTCGCCAGTTCCGGAACCCAGATACCATCTTCATTCTTGCTTTTGCCATCATCCTTCTCAATACTGACATGTACAGTCCCAGCGTTAAGGCTGAACGCAAGATGAAACTAGATGACTTCATCAAGAACCTGAGAGGTGAGGTGACCGGAGTTTCCCATTGGGTTTTTCTGCCCTTAACATGGGAAAGGAAAGTGTGGAGGGTAGAGGGGTGTGGAAAAATGAAGGGAAATACCTGCTGTTTGGGGAAATTAACTGTGGTGTTGTGACTTTCTGCCTATTCTGGATGAACCCAGGGTGTTTGTCTATTAACTGACTCAAATAGTCATTTGCTGGGCTGGGGGTGCATGCAGCTCAGTGGTAGAACCCTCACACAGCCTGTGCAAGGGCCTGGATTTGATCCTAAGAACTACACCCACACCCCCCCCACACACACACACCCACACACACTAGCACTTTGCCTATGTACTCACCCACACACTAACTATTTACTGAAGTTCTTCTATGTACCAAGCTTGTAAGTCTGGGGGTTATACCAGTGAACATCATAGGTAAAAATTGTGGTCCTTCACTCTGTCATTCCTTTATCTATTCATTGCTTCCCCTTTCCTTGTCTTCCTAGTTATGCTTATAAAGACTCAATTTTTTCAGGTACCCTTTCCATTATACATGTATTCATTTATTCATTCAGCCAACACCAACTAGCCATCTAGTGAATACTTCCTGAGTATTTAATGTGTGCCAGGTCCTATAATGGGTACTGAGGACAAAAGATGGGTCTACCGTAGTCCCTGCCCTGAGAAAGCTCCATGTGGGAAAGACTGACTGTAGTACAGATAACCAACATAAGACAGAGTGAACAATGATGTCTGAGAGGCCAACATGCAGTCAGAGCTCAAAAGAGGGAGAACCCAGCGCCAACCGGCTTCCTACAGGATTTTATATTAAGGTGAGCCCTGAAGGCATGGATAAGGTGAATAGAGACAGGGGAGGGCTTATCTAGCAGGAAGGACAACAAAGGCACCGGGGAAGAAAACATAAAAGTTACTTAGAGAGCAGTGAAGATGGGAAGGTGGAGTAGATGGTTGTTTGGGAAGGTCAGATGGATTGACTATCTGAGAGCCCTGAATGCGACGTGAAAGATGTCATTTGTTCTTTTTTCCTTGGTTTTATTATATGGATGTTAAGCCCTGTCTCTCACCAAAGAACAACCTACTAAAAAAATGGCACAGATGTTAAGATTATTTCCATGGAAATGAAAGAGGGAAATGGAGTAAAGGAGAAAAAAATGAAAAAGACAAATTCGCTGAGCATGAAGTCTACATAATTGATAGGCTCTGAATTCTCTAGCAACTGAGGTAAAAAAGCAGTGAGGAATAATACTCCTGTATTACCTGGCCAAGGAGGTGTGGCATTTCAAAAGGAGACATGTTTTTCCTTAGCAGAAGGTTTAGACAATCGAGAGTAGAGAAGAAGGGTAGACTTGGGAAGAGGGAGTTAGATCAGCAGCCATCTGGAGCTATCTCCTAGAATACTGCCATTATTCATTCATCTACCCCCACACACATTGTCTCTCTGTATATGTATACAGTTGGCCCTCCTTTTCTGTGGGCTCCACATCTGTGAATGCCACCAACCACGGATCAAAACGATTAAAAAGTAATTTCATCCATACTAAACATGTACAGACTTTTCTTGTCATTATTCCCTAAAAATTACAGTAGAACAACTACTTATATAACATTTATATCGTATCAGGTGGTAAGTCATCTAGAGATGATTTATATGGAGGGTGTGTATAAACTTTACACAAATACTACACCGTTTTATAGAAGGGACTTGCGCATCCTTTCTACAAAATGGCACATACCGGTAATCCTGCTACTCAGGAGGTTGAGGTAGGACTATTGCCATGAGCTCAAGGCCACTTGGAACTACATAGTGAGACCTAGTCTCAAAAAAAGGAAAAAAACAAGGTTTTAATTAAACCCAAATTTTGCCCCCTAGAGGCAACCATGCTTAGTACAATAAATCCCTGACTTACTAATATTGGAGTTTTGAACTTTCACAGATTTGAAGGATGTCACATTACGAAGATTTGTAGATGCGAACAAATCATAGAAGTAGCTCACGTGTCTTACTGTCATTGTCACAGTTGTGCTACTGTGTACTTACTGTACAGTGTGATAGTGTACAGTAGTACAGTATAGTCAGGGACTTATTGTATTTAGGTGTTTGTTTTTTTATGCTTTACCGTGTATATTTGCATCAAAGGTATATAAGACTCACTTGTCAGACTTACAAATGAATCCAACTTGTGAACATTCTCCCAAAAAGGAACTTGCTTTTAAGTCAGGGACTTACCATATTTGGGTACACTCCAGTCTTTTTTTCCCCATGCATATGTAGCATTTTATAGTTAAGATCATGAGACTGGGCGTGGTGGTGCATACCTGTAATCCCAGCTCTTGGGAGGCTGTAAACAGGCGGATCACTACAAGTCCGATCTAGTAGTGAGCCCCTGAATGCCCTGTAGACCCTTCCCTAAAATACAAAAAATAAAAAAGATCATGCATGTAACTTATCTTTTTTCATTTAACTTGCTACAAGAGTTTTCTCATGTTATTGAAATATTTTATAAACATCAAGTTTTTAATAAATGTATATCATTTTATTAAGCAGATGTGCTACCCTTTACCTATTTCTCTATTGTTAGAGCTTAGGTTGTTTCAGAGTTTTCCTGTAAATGGGACTTAGTGAACATTCTTGGATATATTTCTTACACATATTTCTGAGTAATATCTCAGGTCACATTCCTAGAAGAGGAATCACTGGGTCTGAACATTTAGTCTCTTGCCATATCATCTACCAAACTACTTGTTACCATACATGACCACTTCCCCATACTCTTATTAACTCTGGACATTATTTAAAATTATTTTTGCTGATTAAAAAGGCAAAAATTGGTACCTATTTTAACAACTCAGTGTGTTCTGAGTTGTTGAGATAAAATCTGTACCATGGAGAAGCACCTGACTGTTTTGTTGAAGGGCACCTTCCCTGTGCACTGATCCTGGATAAGGGACCAAGGGTGCTCACTGACCCTTCTTCCTGACTGTAATCATGCTGTGAGGTGGAGGATCCCTGGGTATGGAGCATCCCTACCGTTCCATCTGCTTCCCATATTTATGGGACATATCCCTGTGTTACTCCCCCCGCCCCCCGTACAGGGGTTGACAATGGTGAAGACATCCCCCGAGACCTCCTGGTCGGCATCTACCAGCGCATCCAGGGACGCGAACTGAGAACCAACGATGACCATGTGTCCCAGGTGCAGGCCGTGGAGCGCATGATTGTTGGCAAAAAACCAGTAAGTGCCTAAGAGGCTGCAAAGGACCAGGGTTCTGGTTTACGTTTAACACTGAATGCTAAATCTCTGAGCCACAGGTTCTGCTTACCTGCAGTATGGAATGGGTGATAATGGATTTCTCAGACAGCCATGGCACAGATGTGAGACACCCCATATGAATGAGCCTAGCACATTGCAAAACCCATAGAAGGTGCTGTATAAATATTAGCATCCTTCCCACCTCTGATTTTGCCTGCCCATCCCAACTGAAACGCTAAATTATTATTAGCTGAGAAGCAAAGCAAGAATACCCTTTGGCCAACAAACATCCATGAAAACCTTTCCACAGAGCCCAGCATTTCACTGGGCATCAGAGACATAGACATCAGACATGGTCTCTGTCCTTGGAGCCACTCAGAGCCTAATGGGGTTGCCAAATAGAGACACAACTAATTCTCCTGCCTTATGTGCTAGTTTAAGGGAGCAGAAAGGAAGGATAGGCGATTTTCACCCTCGGAGAATCAGGGAAGGTTTCTTGAAAGAGATCAATTTAGAATCAGGACTCGAGGGATGGTAAAGGCAGCCATGGGGAGTTGGGCAGGAAAAGCAGTGCCAACAGAGGGTGCTACAGGGTGTAAGGAGAGCTTTAGTTGCTTAGTGTCAGAGTGATGCATATGTATCGTGGGTACACTTCCTCTGTGGTTGAATGTTACAGTGCCAGTTCCTGAAGTTGATTGGCAGGCCTTGCTGACACCTGTTTGTCCATTCCTATCTAGGTGCTATCTCTTCCTCACCGCCGACTGGTTTGCTGTTGCCAGCTCTATGAGGTGCCAGATCCAAATCGCCCCCAGAGGATAGGGCTGCATCAGCGGGAGGTCTTCCTCTTCAATGATCTCCTCGTGGTATGGGCACTGTGTGAGAGGAGATGGGCGGGAGAGGCCCAGCTTGGATTCTGGGTCTGTGCTAAACCATTTGAACATTGGTGTGTGGAGTGGCAGGTGACATGTTCTACTGTGCTCTGCATGGTCTCTGGCAATGAACAATCCTGTCCTGCCCTGCCTTTTCTTCATGGATCCATTTGGAGGTTCTCAAAGCCACACAAGAGCAGAGAATATGAGGGCCAGGGTGTATGCAGACTTGCAGTCTGTAAAGTGGTAGGCAATGTCCTTGTCCTCCTCAGTAGCCAAGAAGGTTGGGTGCAAAGGGGTAAACCTGTGATCCAGAGGCAGTCTGAGATCTTGGAGTGGTCTTTATGCTGTAAGTGATTCTTAAAACCAAGCTTATCACCAGTACAGAGATGTTCATATTTTAGGGATGAGACTTGCAAGACTATAGATCAGACTATAGACTCTTTCAGCATCTCTGGGGGCCTTCCTAGAGAGCTGATCTGACTGCTACAATTGGTGTTCCTGTGAGTTTCCTCCAACAATTGTCACTTGACTCATGGGGCTCATGAAAGTAAGCATTCTACCTTTGCCCCAAGATAGCTCTTCAGAAATTTGAGGACAGCGATCCTGACCTTCCTTGGCCTTCCCTCCTTGAGATCAGGTTTTTCATTCTCAGCCTTGTTGGCATTTGAAGACAGATAATTCTTGGGTAAGGGACCATTTTGTTCACTGTAGGATATTTAGCAAGACCTTAGTTGCTACCTATTAGATGTCAGCAGCTTCCCTTCAAACAAAACTGTGTTCTCCTCTAAAAAGTGAAAAACAGAAGGAGGAGAGGGGGAAAGGGGGAAAGGAGAGAAGGAGGGAGGGAAGGAGAGAGGGAGGGAGAAAGAAGAGGGAGAGGAGAGACAAGGGGAGAGAGAGAGAGAGAGAGAGAGAGAGAGAGAGAGAGAGAATATGAATATGAATATGTTCCCCAGACAGTGTTCAATGTCATTTAGGAGCTATCCTGCCCCCGGTTGAGAATCATTGCTCTAAACAAATCACCTTTAATACTCTCTGAGCCTTAACTTCCTGCTGTCTGAAATGAAGCAGCTAACATATCTCATAGGTTGCCATGAGAACATAAGAGGTCATATGTGGACTAGCCTTATCTGGAGGCATACCTGGCCCACACAGGTGTTGAGTCAGTATTAGACATCCCTCATGTAGTGACATGTGTGTGTGTGTGTGTGTGTGTGTGTGTGTGTCAGTGCCATGCTAGCTGCTAGGTATCCTGAGATGAATCAGACTCAGTTCCTGTTACAAGGGTGATCACATTCCAAAGAACCAAGAGAGATGCCTTGCCACACAACCCTATAACTATATAACCATGCTTAAAGCAAAACAGTTGCTGAGCGAGAGAGAGGCAGAGGCAGAGGCAGAGGCAGAGGCAGAGG